ACAAACGTGAAGGGCCTGTGCGGGGAGTTTTTCGCAATTGCACCTGGAGCTGGAACTTAGCTCACCTGGCTAACAAAGTAGTGTTCTTTTGACTCCAAAATACTGTCTTTCCCATAAACTTTGAACTTTTTAGAAACTAGAAGCAAATCATAGCCCTTCATGAATTTATTTCCCAAGTTTTCAAAGGGCGACCTTCACTTGTGAAGTATAAGCAAAACTATAAATAAATTTTAAATGACTTCCCAAGACTTGCCAAAAGCATTTAATTTCAGCAAGAAAAGTATTGCTAAAATTATTTGACTTAAAATTTGTTTCCTGTTTACTAAATAGCAATGATTTAGATTTATAAATTGTCTGACCATGCAGTCGTTTCTCAACCACTTTCTGATAACGGAGCAGCCGCTGGTGCCTGCTTATGTGATATTTGTGTGCATCCAGTGGTTATAAATCAGCCAACTTAGTCAACAGAACTGAAATAAATCAATCTCAAACCAACATATCCGTAATAAAATTAAAACACACAACACGTCTGAATTTTAGGCAACTCACAGTCTGTTACTCTGGGGACTTTTAAAAGATGCGGCTACTGCTCAGGGTCTGGCTGGGGCCAACTGTCTGCAGAAAGGCCGGTCCAGTTTTCCTGTAACAAAGACGTCATTAGTAACCTTGGATTTCTATAAGAAGCAACCGTAATACTACTGTCTTCAGTTTGGTTGGCTGAGAAGCAGATCCTGAGACAAACATTTGAGTAAAAATATTCATTTGGGAGCTCACCGTAGGAAGCACAGGTGGGAAGATGGCCACGTGAGAGAGAGACAGGAAGGGGTGTGCACACCTGGGACTCATCAGGCTGGGCCTAAGCCTAATGATCAAAGGAATCACTTTCTCAATGGAAGATCACCAGGGGTCTTCGTGTGGTGCAAAGGTCGTCCTGGCCAGCTTTATCAGAAGAATAAGTGAGCAGTGGTCCTTTATGGCATATGGGATTATATATATAAAAATTACATAGAGATTATATATATGCTCCTTAATTTATTTTTAATTTAACACAAGAAAAAACTGAATCTAAGTAACAAAATAAAATGATGAACAGAGCAGATCCAGAGACATGGAAGCATGGAACAGAGTGTGGGATCTCAGAGGGAAGGCTAGGAAGGAGGTAATCAACCAAAGACCTTGTATGCATATATGCAAAACCCATGAACACAGACAATAGGGGTGAAGGCCTGGGGCGGGGGTGGGGGCAGGCTGGAGGGCGTCAATAGGGGGGAAAGGAGGTATATGTAATACTTTGAACAATAAAGAATTATTTTTTAAAAAGAAAGAAGATTTTTTAAAAGAAAGCTCCCAAAGATGGCAGCATAGGCAAATGCCTGTACTCGCTGCCTCCCACAACCACATCATAATTACAACTAAAATACAGAAAAACCATCATCCAGAACCACCTGAAAGCTGGCTGAATGAAGCCCTACAAATAGGGAAATAAAGAAGAAAGCACACTGAGACTGGTAGGAGGTGCCGAGGCTCACAACGGGCTGGGCTGGCACCCACACAGGCCGCTTTTTAAATTGGGAGGGAGATTGTTTCTGCAGAGGCCGCCCGGAGGAGCAAGGGGCCCCAGCCCCACTCCAGACTCCCAGCCCAGGGTCTCAGAGCTGGGAGAAGAAGTTGCTATGGGCGGTAAGAACTATGGGCTGTGAAAATCAGTGCTGATTGGGGCTCAGTGACACAGAGGCTGCTGGAGACCCAGCTGTTCCTCTTAAAAGGCCGGCACCATGAACTGATTTTACAAGCTCCCACTTCCTCTAAGCTCCAGTGCCAGGCAAAGCTCTGGGGGACATAGACACATACAAGGAGGAACTGGATTGTTTGGCATCAGGGTAGGAACTTGGGAGCAGCTTTCTCCCAGACAGAGATCATTGTTCCTATGCTGGGACCTCCCGGTTGTAGGGCTGACTGGCAGCCATTTCTGTTTGTTCCGCCATGGTGATTCCCTAAGACCCTGCCTCATCCAATTTACAACCCCACCCAAGCTGTGTGCAGCAGCTTTTGCATATGAATGGCCCATCCTTCCTTGCTCAGGCTAAAATCTCAACAAGCGCAGCTGGGTCAGGGAGCCCCAAACCTATCAATAAAAAGCTCAAGACCCAGCACCAGCACCAACCTGCCTTGCTTCATAGCAGGGCCTCATCTAGGGACTTCCAAACCCCATACAAAGAGGAAGAATATGCAGATCTCTCTGGAGCTTCTGCTGGGTGGCCCCAGGCAATGGCTGACTTTGCACCTCCCTGGAGACCCAAAAGCCAGTGGACCCAGTGGCCAGTGTCAGACCATACCAGATTACAACTCTACACATCCATAAGCGACACACTGAAGGGGCAGACTCAGTGAGCATCAAAGCCCCACTGAAACAAGTCCTGCTCCATAGGGGTGTCTCCTGTACAGCAGTTCTACCACTGTAGTCGCAGCTGGTCCTCACAGCCAATTGGCCTGGTGGTCAATTCCTCCCAGTGACACCAACAGCAATCAAGTCTCAACTACAACAAGACTGTGCTCACAGCCCACAAAGGGGTGCACCCAGAGTGCCCAGCTCAGGTGACTGGGGAGGCTGAGCCACTGGGCCCTATAGAACACCTACTACACAAGGCCACTCTACCAACTCAAGGAGACATGGCAGCTCTACCCAACACAAAGAAACAAACACAGGGAAGCAGCCAAAATACAGAGACAAAGAAACATGTCACAAATGAAAGAACTGGAAGAAAGCAAACTACTGGATATAGAGTTCAAAACCATGGTTATAAGGTTACTCAAGAATCTTCTAGAAACCTCCAAAAAAATGGAAAAGGACCAGTCAGAAATTAAATATACACTGACTGAAATAAAGAATAATATACAGGGATTCAACAATAGAGGAGATGATTCTGAGAATCAAATCAACTATTTGAAATATGAGGAAGCAAAAAATACCCAATCAGAAGAGTAAGAAGAAAAAAGAATCCAAAAATATGAAGATAGTGTAAGGAGCCTCTGGGACAACTTCAAGTGTACCAACATTCTCTTTCCTCTAACAGATGAAATCATTTGCATGTTATTTCCCTTACCCCACCTCCTGATTTTTGTTAGTTGTGTTTTTATATTGTCAAAATATAACAATTTACATTTTTTTACATTAGCCTATTTTTCACACTTATGTACTATTCACTTTATATTTAAGTGAAGGCAGTGCTCCTCACCAGTCATTTTATTGGAGCTCCCACATTCATACGTTCTTTATTTTATTTATGTTTAAGTGGTCAAGCAGTTTTTTTAAGAAAGTCTGTTAAGTACTGCTAACCTTTAAGAAATTTTTTTTAATGTTTGCCTTTATTCTTGAGTGACATCTTGGCTGGAAATAATACACTTACTTCACACTTTCCTTCCTTCAGAGCTACTTTGCAGCCTTTTCTTTCCTACGTTACAGTGTTGAATGTTGCCATGAAGTAGTCTGATGTCAGCCTGAAGTTTCACCTTTGTAAATGACTCACTCTCAGACTAGAAGTTTCAAAATTTTTTATTTTATTCTGGAAATATTGCTGTTGAACATTTTGTGTCCATTTTCCTAGAATACAACGAGGGGATTTTTTTAAAGATGTACTTCCTTTCCTTTCACTCTTAGTTTTCTTTTCTTATTTCTGTAAGATGAGCCTATTACTTCTGAGAGAAATTTCTTTCCTATTTCACTTATTTCTTCCCAAAAGTCATTTCCATTACACTGTAGCCAGAAGACAAATGATAAAGTCACCCCCTCATTCATCTCTCTTGATACCTCTGTCAGGATTCGGTGGACTTACCTCCATGGCTTCTGAGGAGAAGAAAGAGAAGTGGCTACCTGCTCTGTGGTCTTCCATTTCATTCCCTTTGGAGTTTCCTGTTTTTCCTTTGCACTCACTTTTTTCAGGTAATGGATTAAGCCTTTTCTATTGATAATTATTTTTAAGGGGGCTCTTTAATGCTTTTGTTACCTCCCTTACACACAAAGATATTCTGTAAGGCAGTTTTATTCTTCCATCTAAATATAGATATTCCTATAACTTATAATCTCAAGCTCCCCTGATAATTCATATACTCACAAAGTTCAAGATCAGTGATTCATGGCTTCTTGTGCACAACAGTACTCACTTCTTACTACCTAGGATCTACAGGGTGGGACAATTGGTTTACAGTTGTGAGTATATGAAACAGTTTATTCTTGTATTATTATTCATTATATTATTTTTCATACGAACTGTAAATCTCCTTTTGTCATGCCCTATACTTATTCTCTGACTCAATGTGACTTCATCTGCAACAAGAGAATAAGATCTTCCTGGCTGCACTATTGTAAGGTGGTAGCCATGAGACAAATGAGGTAATGTATCTATAATAATAAACGTGTAATATGCTAATTAGACCGGACAGCCGAATGACCTTACAGACGTCCTTCTGGATGTCCTCCTGGACAACCTTCCAGATGAAACCGGGGCTGCGAGGGCCAAGGCAAGCTGCCATAGCTGCGAGGGCTGAGCCCCTTGCATGAATTTCATGCATCGGACCTCTAGTAGTAATATATTTCAGAAAACATTTTCACCCTTGAGAGAGAGGTTATTGTAGCTTCCACTTTCTCCTTACATGAACTGAGTCATGTACTCAAGTATTTATTCTTTACTGTTTGGGTAACATAATGGCAAAACTAGTTACCAGATTTTTCAGATTTCATTCTCTAGGATTGTATATTACTAGAATACCTATTACAGTGGATAAATTAAAAATTCCTTCTTTTTTTGGTGTTGTTTCTGCACAGAGACCTGACCTGTTCAAAATACCCTGAATGACATATATTCAATGATTTTTTTTTAAATGGTTGATTTATTCACTTGTAACCTGAAATCCCACCATAAGGGAAGACTAAGTAGCTTAAAAACAAACAAACAAACAAACAAACAAACAAACAAAATAAAACACTGAAGCCCAGAAAGCAATAAGTTCCTTTGTATATATTTATAATACTGTTCACATGATTACAGAAAAGCAAAGTAACAGAAAAGATTTCTTTCTTCAGTTCTACCCCAGCTGCGTGGAAAGTGAAAAGTGAACAGAAACATACAGCAGAGGCCATATGTGCTTTACCATGTAATCAGGAAGATAAAGGACATGAATAAGTGTTACCTCTAATTCTTAAAACCAAAGGCTCTATGCTGGTTTATGATAATAATCAGGGAAGCCCACCTTAATCCTATGTCAAGTGACATTCTGCCAGCCCCTTCAGAGTCCAATAACTTTATACTGATATACAAGTAAACCTTTAACATATGTATTGATTTTTATGACTGAGCTCCTTAAGATTCTGCCAATATGGCACCTTCCTCTGGAGTCCAGGGGTTGCTTAACTTTCTTCTTCCAAGAACTTGCCCACATCTCTGTTTCTTGCTGTAGACTTTCCATCTCAGAAAGACCATGAAAGACACGCAACTTTGCAGATACACTTACCTTCACTTTCTGAGATCAAAGGCCACTTCTTAGCAAATGCCCTTTTTCTGTTCACGCCCAACTCTCCTCAGACAGTCACAGTGAAGGCCCATTGAAGAAGCACTTTTCCAGGTCATGATATTTAGGAACTTGAAACAGTGTTGGGACACCTCGTGGTGCCATATGAACGTAAGATTCATGTGCAAAATGAGCCATAACAGTAGGACATAGGAAACTTTTGTTTAAAATGACAACATATTTGAAAGTTGGGTGTATTTTATTTACAAGTAACATTTAGATACAGAGGTTAATCAGATGCTTCCAAAGATCCCCACTATATTAGCAAAGACACATCAGAGAGGGAATATAGCGAGTTCATGTGTTTCCGCCATGTGACAGCAAGATCCAAGGCTGGTTATATCCAGAAGGCTTAGTAGACATAGTGCCAGATTACTTGCAAACTACAAGCATTGGGGTTTATACTTGATTTATGAATACTCCTAAATAATGTTCCTTAGTACCTTCATTCCTACCATCTACACTGTAGTGCTGTCACATCAATGATATGCCTTCAGCTCAACTTAAACTCATTATTTGATTGTCATGAGTTCTGCTGAAAAAAGTTTATGAATAAACCTTATTTAAATTGTAACCCCTCTGCTTTCTCCAACAGCTATTCTCCTGTGAATTTATTCCAGGTGTGCATTGTGTGAGACAGTCTAGCAGAGCTTCTAAGAGATTGCTGTCATTCATGTACACTATCAATAGTATCCATTATGAAAAATGTTACACTGGAATTTTATAAATATATCTTAGTATCAGTCATACTTTATATGTAAATACTTGGCTTTTTTAAAAAATCACTACCAAATATAGCCATTGATACTCTGAAACCAAAAGGTTTTTTACACAGGTAAAATTCTTCCTCTTTTCCCAGAAAATAGAATTCTAAAACTCCAGGAAGATCTGAATTATCCACTTGGGGATGAAGCAGCAGTCATACTGTTGCAATAGAGAGCTTTATTCATATACACACGTGTTACTCATTCCTGATGTGCATGGTTTTCATTATCTCAAGAAAATGATTCTAATTTATGGATGGGAAAAGGGAAGTTCTTATTAGTAAGGAACTAGTGCAAATGCATAGCCTAATGGCAATGCCGCATTTATAGGCCCCAGAGATCCTTTCAAGAGCACTGCACCTAGAGTCAGACCCTAGGGTATGTCCAGGATGAAATCTACAATTCTAGTTGCTATTCATGGGGCTACTAAAGAACTGAGTCAATGACAACTTATGCATATAGATGTAATTGTCTTAATTTTGAAATGAAAAGAAGAGAAATCCACATTTCCAAAGGATTTCTGCACAGAGAATAAACACCAGCTATCAAACAACTGAAACCAAAAGACTGAGATCTTAAAAAGTTTACCTGCTCCTTTTATAAAATATATATATGTCTTCATAAGATCCTGAGGGACTCAGTCTTAGAATTTGCCTTTGCTCAATTTGACCTTCAATTCCATATTGAAGATTGAAACTCCAATCTTTCCCCTTTCCAGCAAGTCTTTTTAAACTATAATGAACACAGAAATTACTCAATATTACAGCAAAAGGACTATTGGTTAAGTTCACAGAAAGAATGCATAATAGACAGAATTATGTTTTTAAAAATAAATTGTGCTGCAAAACTACTTTTGCAATTACAATATCGGGTTTGGCCCCACAATGTTTAAGAGGCACTGCATTAATATAAACAGAATCATCTAATGCACTTTTTCAAAACAGTGCTTCTCAGCCAGGGCTCGTATGAATTCATTCTGCCGCTGGGTGCCAATGGCACTTTTGGTTTGCTTTACTGGCAACATGTTGGCAACGCATCCTATACTAAGAGAAAGGCTGAAAGACGAGCATATGACAAGAGCCAAATCCACCATGTTACTTCTTTTCATGCTTCTTGGTTAATTGCCCCACGCCCAGCTGGAAGCTGCCCCGGTTGTCACCGTCTCTCTCTTCCCTCTGCCGACTCTCCTGGGAGACTTGTCGCACAGCCTGCAGGATGGCATTCTGCACAATCTGTTTACTGGCATTCTGCAGCCTCACCTCTTCAGGCTCGTTTCCAGTTTTCTCGCCTAGACAAAAATATGAAAGGGAGGTGAAAACAACAAAATCAATTTCAGAAACTGTGACAGGAAGGAGCAGGTAGAAAAGGTGAAAGCGGAGGGGAGACTAAGAACATAATAGGGTGGCCCAGCTAATTGTGAGGAGCTCTCTGTAGCACATACCACTCTTGCCTCCCTTTCTCCCTTTCCAATAGAATCTGCATTTGTTTGCCCCAGCAATGCACCCAATTTATATTCTCACCATCCCAGAATCCTCTGCTGCTAGCAGGGTAATGAGTCATAGTCTTGGCCAAGGAAACACCTGGGAAAGTTTTTGGAAAGCGAGAGGCTCATAGCCCCTTTGGCCTTTGGCACCTCCCCTGGATGCAGACATACTGCTTGTAGGTGCTGTAACCATCTAACAATAAGCATGGAGAGGAAAGCCAACATTCTGGGCATCGTTGGGAGACAAAAGGAGCCAGTTCTGAAGGCATCAATGAGCATCTGCACCAGCCCTGGACCATGTACTTTAGGATGTGTTTACGTGTGAGATCAATAAACCCCTTTTTGTTAAGTCCGCCACTAGTCAGGTTTTATGTTGCTAGCACCCAAAAATATGCCTAATATATGTGAGCTCACTGGGGCTGAAAAATAGCTTGTGACTGAATTCATATTAAACACAACCCTGCTCCTGTAATAGCATCCCAAAGAATGAAGCTATTCATTCATCAGAATCTGTTCTCCATGATCTAGAACAGGGGTGGGCAAACTTTTTCTATAGAGGACCAGATAGGGAATATTTGGGGCTGCTGGCCATACCACCTCTCTAAAAACCATTCAACTCTACTACTGTATCATGAGATCAGCTATAGACAATACATCAGTGAATGCGTATGGCTTTGTTCCAGTAACTCTTTATTGACAAGAAAAGTAAAAAACTACGTTGCAGATTTGGCCCATGGACCAGGTTGCCAACCCATGACTCAGAATGGTGGGAATTTTCTAATTAGAAAGGCAAGGCAATATACCCAATATTGACTCTTCCCCTTCTTCCTTAGTTAAAAACACATCAAAACCTTAATTTTATTTGACCAGCTATATAACTAGGTACAGGTAAGTTCCAATGGGTGGGAGTTTGTTTAGTGAAAATTCCGTAAAAGGTCTTTAAAAGGGAAGAGGCAGATAAAGGCCCTTTACCCTCTCCCTTCCTGCTGCCTGCAGCTCAGACACATGGTTGTCTTTCCAGGGGCTCTGGCTGACCATGAGCGAACCTTTAGAATGGAAGCCATTTTCATGGATTTGGAAGGAAAAAGTTAGAAAGGGCCTAAGATTCTAATGGCCATATAAGACTATATTAGTCCTTAATTGCTAATCTCTAGGCCTCTTTTATATTAGAATAAATATATATAATTTAAGGCAGTGTTATTTTGGATTTATTTTACTGTGCATCAAACTTATTACCAATTCATATATAACAGAATGATCACGAATCTAACATTTGACTAAAGTGCAATCCTGAAAATGTTAAAGCCCACCTGTTTATATTTATAGTGACAAATAAAATGGGCATCATTCCTTGTTCGAAATCATCTTTTCGGATGTTCCTTCTATTTAAATACTCTGCTACCATGCAAATGTATTTTAAATTGGCAAAGGATGGTTTTCACCAGAATTGATTCATGAACAACAGAATTTATGCACCCATAAGAACATCGCATAAGAGAATATTGAGTCATTCTAGAAGGCCAGACAGCTCTTATCCCTTTAGACATATAACTGTCATTTATTCAGCATTTGCATCACTAGCACCCCCTCCTGAGGGATTTACAGACCAATAAACAAGGCAAGATGAATCTATCCAAAACTAAAAAACAATACTCATTCTCCACCCCCTTCCAAAAAAAAAAAAAAAAAACAGGATAAAATCAGCAATCTACACCAAACCAAACAAAGGAGTCCAGAGCTATGATATATGGCAGATTAAAACTCTAAAAGCAGCAGAGAAGAATTATTTAAATATTTTCTGAAGAAAAAGAATGAATAGTAATATTAAGAGACATGAGGGCACAGCAATTAAGAATGTGCATTTTAAATACTTTAGAGTTAAGTTCAAGTTATTTTTTGTATATAGAGATTTTTATTGATTTTAGGAAGGGACAGAGAGAGAGAGAGAGAGAGAGAGAGAGAGAGAGAGAGAGAGGAAGAGAAACATCAATGATGAGAGAGAATCATTGATCGGCTGCCTCCTACATGCCCCACACTGGGAATTGAGCCCACAACCCAGGCACGTACCCTGACCAGAAATTCAACCATGACCTCCTGGTTCATAGGTCGACACTCAACCACTGAGCAACACTGTCTGAGCAAGAGTTCAAGCCCTGACCAGTTTGGCTCAGTGGATAGAGCGTCAGTCTGCGGACTGAGGGGTCCCAGGTTCGATTCCGTCAAGTGGTCGCGGGCACATCCCCAGTAGGGGGTGTGCAGGAGGCAGCTGATTGATGTTTCTCTCTCATCAATGTTTCTAACTCTCTGTCCCTCTCCCTTTCTCTCTGTAAACAATCAATAAAATATATACATATTTAAAAAGAGTTCAAGTTCCTTCTGTCACTTATAGCCATGTGATCTCGCTCTCTAAGCCTGTTTGCACACCTGCAAGAAGGGCAAGCAGTACCTATTAGGATGGTTGCTAGAGAATTAAGTGACATAACAACTGTTCCGCACTTAGTGCAGTTCCTGAGCACTTAGTATCCGCCATTGTGTATTGGTTGGGTTACAGATTAGGCTGTTGTAACAGAGAAACAGAACTAGAGCAGCTCACTCCCGGGAGAGATATTTATTGCCCTCTGCATAACAGCTCAGAGGTGCCCCAGTGTGTAGGGGGCTGTGCTCCACCAGGTTATCTAAGGGCTCAACTCCCTTCCATCTTCCTGCTCTGCCATTTCCTACTCTACCGGCCTTAACTGCGTGAGTAGAGCTGGTTAACTAATATGCCATTTGGGGCTGGAAGGAAGCCAAAGAGAAAATGGAAGGCAAGCAATTTCCCTCTAAAGAGTTGTCATAGAAATTGCAAGCATCACTCTGCTCATTTGCTACTGGGGGAAACTGAGTCATGTGGTGGTCACATCTAGCCACATGGGAGGCTAGCCACAGACTGCAATGCCTGTGGTTCAGTGTGGGCCAGTCACCTGGGGCCTGAGAGGCTGGATCAAGACGTAAGAGCTCAGTCATTTAGGAGGAGGAAACCGCCCGGCCCCTGTCCTGGGAAGGCACGGCGGGCAGACCACGCATCGTCAGGACTGACGTTGTCCACCATAATAACCGACTGGTGCTCCTATGGCATTCATTTTAAAGGAAAAGGCATTTGCGAACGCCCTGGTGGAGACCCTTAATATAAGTACAGTGTGCAAAAGTGCATTACAGCCGACAGAAGGCAGAGCCAGCCACAGAAATCCTGCGTTTTGCCATTTACTTACATGTACTACATTTATTTGAAATTAATAAATCTAGGCCAATTGCCTAGTTTTAAAAGATGCAAATGTCCTCCAGCCTAATTAGCATTTACAAGATCGTACTGGTATTTCACAAAAGATGATGAATTGATGTAATTAGCTTTAAACTCTAAATGCCCAATATAAATGCATTGAAGTCAAGATTGTGAAGTAACTAAATTTGCCTTCTGTGTCTTTCCACCTCAAATCATTACCCTCCTTTCCCCTCCCAACACCACACATGCAGGCCGCCCTGGGGTCATGCTTCCCTGTGACACCCAGCCCACCCATGGGGCCAGCCTGCCACAGACTCCCCTGAGCTCCGTGCCCTCTCCTTACCCTTCCCAGCCTGCTGTTTCAGGTGCCATCCTTACCAGCCCAGTGGAAAGGGTCTGGGGAACTCAATTGCAATGTGGTTAATAATTGGTCTTAAGTCCTTATTTATATCATTAAAATTGTGCTGCTATTGACCATAGGAAGATCCTCCTGATAAAAATTTACATTGTTTTTCCCCTAAGAATCTAAGTGCCACTTGCCTCTATTACATTAACCCTATTACATTCCAGTGAGGTGGGTTTTAGAAAAAGTTAGCATTCCCACTGTGAGGCAGAATCCGATTAGTGATTTTTTTCCCTGGATCACACAGAGAATGTGGCAGAGGTTTTGTCATACGCACTGTCTCTCCCCATTGGGTCACTAAATATGCAAGTGCCTCTTAGGGCTCCGCCACCACTGACTGTCCACACTCTCCAACACATGGTGCTGCTGATGGGGACCACGGAGCATATTTTTATCTTCCCTGCTGATTGCTTGAAACTATAAAGACATATTATCATTCATCAATGACTAGCCTATGGAACGCAGAGAACAAGAACTAATTCTGGTCCCTTAATTAATGGAATGATAGTCTATTTTCCAGCTCTGTAACTACAGGAATTTTTCATGAAGGACCAGATGTTAGATCTCATTCATCTACGCCGATAGCTAATAAAGCCATCCTGCTTGCCCTGCTGTGTCACTGAGCAAGCTCAAGTGATGTGACTTCCCAGCAACAGAGAGTCACAGCTCTGAGTCCCAATAAAACTTGAAAAGGAAAAGACAATTATAATCTAGAAATCAAGTTTTGAATATTTTGGCTAAGAAGAGCAGAGGTAATTTTGAAAGAGAACAAGTAGGGAGGACCTAATTTAGCAGCTTTCGATACCAGCCATAAAGCTGTAGTGCAGTCACGCACCACTTAACGATGGGAATGCGGTCTGAGAAAAGCATCATCAGGGAATTTCGTCCTTGTGCAAACATTGTGGAGTGACTGACACAAACCTAGACGGCAGGTCCTAGTACACACAGAGACTATATGGCATAGCCGAGTGCGACAAGTCTGCACCTGCGGTACAGACTAAATCAAGCACAGGAGAAAACGATGCAACAGCCATTGCGAAAAAATTTGATAAATCAGGCTACATTAAAGTAAGTGTGTATTGTCATGGAAACACACCACACACACACACACACACACACACACAGTTAAAAGGCTTATCATTT